GACACAACATCTTTGTTGGTATGTGGTGCTGAGGATCGAACCCGGGCCGCACGCATGCCAGGCGAGCGCGCTACTGCTTGAGCCACATCCCCAGCCTCTGTTAGGCATCTCTTAATCAATCAAATTGACAATCCAGATTAACCATCACAAGGACAAACAATTCATCAAAATTTTAGGGATCTCAAAACTCACCTAGCCCATGTCCTTTCATTCCTCTCCATTAGATTAAGATCTGACTAGCTCTTTGGGTTTATATCTATACAAAGTGAAATTACCAAAAACAATGCTTTGATACTTGTATTTCTTACTGGTAAAGTTGTATGAGAATGTGGGGAAGGAATGCTCAGATCCAAGCTTGGGTTTATCTTGGGTCTGGACTTGTTTTCCTCTTTACCCTGACTAAGGAGTCAAATTTCTAATTTAGATAAAGTGCATAAGACCGATTGTAATACCATTAGTGTGCTAACCTGGCTTCAACTTCTTTCCTTTATTCTAATTTCTTAACATCTTATTGTAATGTACACAGTTGTACTTATTCTGTAAGTTGACCTTAAACTCCTTTGGGGGAGAATTTAAAAATAATATAGGAAGAGGAAAAACTATGGTGTTAGAAGTCATAATCATAGTTACCCTTCAGGGGACAGTGACCGGAAGGGGACACAGTAGGGGGTGGTTCTGGGGTGCTGATCATTTCCTCAGCTAAGTGCTTATTATATAAGTTTGTCCCTTCTGTGACATCACTGAGCTAAACAGTAGATTTGCATCTCCTTCTGTAAGTTAAACTTTAAAAAAATTTTATAAAAATGAGAATTGAGGAAATGATACTTGCCAGGTTGCTCGCAACTAAAACACTCAGGTGTCACTCCAGGGGAACTGGGCTAACTGGGCTGTATGAAATAACCACACAAGAGACAGAAATATCTTTTTCTTTGGGGGTTCTGTGAAGGCTCCTCTGACCCTAAGAGTCCACAGAAAGAAAGAGAGCATGCTGATCCCTTTTATTGAGGAGAAGCCATTCAAATGAGGCAAGGGGTCAGGTTTCAAGGGGCTGAGTCTAGCTTCATGATGTCTGCTGTCAGCAGGATGACTGACATCTAGGCAGGCCACACCCAAGGGCAGAGTAAGAGAAGGGGACGCACAAAGGATGTTTCTATGGAACATTCTATCCCAAACAGGGCAAGTGGTAATATTACAAAGGAACAGGTGAGCATAGCTCCACCCTTGGGGATGTAGGAAGGCACGCCCATACACGAGACACAGTCGCTGGAACCCTTAGAAGACAGGGGCTATCCAGCAGCAGCATGGCTGCTGGATGCCACACCACTCAGCAGGGGAGGTGGACCCAGTCACGTGCTAGTTAGCCTCCCACAGATACCTATGAATATTTAGGCTTTATTATGTGCCACACATTAGGTATTCCCATTCACCCTCAGAACACTTTTAGGTCAGTAGAGTAACCCACACCTTACAAATGAGGAACTTAATCAAGGTTCAGACAGGTTAAGGAATGAGGCCAGAAGTCCAAATGACTCCTTTCTGGTCACACATGACTGCCCCCCCCCCCCGCTTTTAAAATATATTTTTTTTAGCTGTAGATGGACACAATATCTTTATTTTCATGTGGTGCATGTGAGGCAAGTGCTCTACCACTGAGTACAACCCCAGCACCACTCCCTCCTTTATACTACACTGCCCCTTGCTTTCCACTTTGTCTATTAGGCTCAGTCACTAAACCCAAGGGACAGTGTTCAGACTTAGTGGAGATACAGATGAAAGGGCTTCACCGAAGAGGTGTTGAGTAGCATCCTGGGGCTAAAGCTAGGTATGGGATTCATTTGGTGGAGGAAACAGCCCTGGACTACAGTGACAAGCCTGGGGCTTCCAGGCTCTTAACAAACGGCTCCAGGGCCAGGCTTATCGTCTGTGATTTGGCCTGTGAGACACCTTATAAACCCACCTTCTTTCCATGTTAATTTCAACAATAGTATGCACGCATATGTGTGCACACACACAAAAAGAACTGCAGAAGACAAACTCTCACCAGTCTAGTCTTACCTGGAATAGTCATCTTTCAGTATCTAGAGGAAGGGGAGAGTATAGAAAGCAACGGATTATTAAGACATAGGGGCTCCTCTGGCTCCACCTCAGTTCCTCTCAATAAGACAAAAACAGATGGCAGTTAAGTAACCCAGCAAATATGCTGAGCTCTGCAACCTGTCCCTCTTCTCTCCAGAAGCCAGGAGGATTTATTCTGATTATCTAGAACCACTATGACTAGTAGCTCCACTGGAAGCCTTTCCCTCCAGATGTGGTTGGGACTGAAAGGCCCTCATTTTTTGCATTTCCACCCAGTCATAGACATACTGCGTGTCGAACACCAAGATGGTCTCATACATAGCTTTCTGCAGAAAGGGAAATGTATGCTTTCAGGATAAATTTTCATATGCAAATCAAACAAACAAAACAAAAACAAAACTCATTTTATTTCATAGTAAAAAAGTCATTATATGGCAAGACAGGGGCAGAGAGACAGGGCAGCAGACCAATTCAGGCATTTCCCCATATTCCACCACACTAGCTATTGGGTTTTAGCCTGAGTTCCCCCAGCCACTTCTTATTTGCAAATAGGGAATTAGGCCAATCCATTCTAATGCCCCTTCATAGCCCTAAAATTCGAACTTTGAACTAGAGATTAGCTGCACTGGACAGATGGGAGTCGGGATGTGGAGACAGGTGGTGGCGTTTGCCTCTCTCTCCTAGGGGAAAGTGTGGTCAGGAACTGGCCCAATTAGAGGGTATCAAGAATCAGGGAGAATGTCAGGGTGGCTCTTGAGTACAGACATAGCAAAATGGTATGTGTTGCAATCCTGACCTTGTAGAGATACATAAATGGATTAAATGGGCAAATAAGACACTGGAAAAAGAGAACAATCCTTCAGTCTAAAAATACATGTGGATGTGTTATTTTAGTCGATTTGGCCTCATTTTTCTATACGCCTGTCTGTCATGCTGCCCGGAGCACTCTTCCAGAGTTATATGAGTAATGACAAGGATCTTTCTTGAGTGCTACAGGGTTCTTAACGCTTTCCTATGTGGAATTTTACAGTTGGATGACATAGCTAAACTTTGTTATACCATGAAACTTTGTTTGCTTTCAGGCTTTGAAGTTTTATTTGCATTTCTAGTAGCAGTCACCCGCTTGCTCCTTTTTTAAATGCATGAATTATATATATATATACCAATTTAAAAAATTAAAGTATAAAAATATACAAACTTAAAAAAGTAATCTCAAGCTCTCCTCTCCTCAAGGGGAGGCACAATTCCCAGCCAGGTGACCCAGGCCCAGGGTTGCAGGCTTTGAGTTCTTCAGAGGCTTTCGAAATTTGCTCTGAAGGAAAACCCTCGGCACACGCAGGCCCTCCTTTTTATTCACCGTCTCTCGAAACACATACTCGTTCACCACTTCTTCATAACCTGTGTCCACAAAGAGCTGAGCCAGGAATTCTACAAGACAAAGAGGCCAACAGTGCTCAATGTCCTGGTAACAGGAAGGAGGAAAATCTATGACCAGAGTGAAAAATATAGACTCTTACTAAGAGTATCACTACTCTGAAGCATTCTACAGACATTACTGTTTTCTCAATTATTTATATTTATGTATTTTTGGTACCAGGGGATGAATCCAGGGGTGCTTAACCACAAAACCACATCCTATCCCTTCCTTTTATGGTTTTTAGAGACAGGGCCTAGGTTGCTTTAAGGCTTCACTAAGTTGCTGAGGCTGACTTTAAACTTGTGATCCTCCTGCCTCAGTTTCCAAAGCCACTAGGATTACAGGAGTGTGCCACTGTGCTTGGCTTCTCAATTATTTTGAATTAGTTTAATCAGATTTTAGTGACCAGAAGCATTAAAAGATATTAAAATATCTTCTCCTGATATTTTTATGATATTATAGTTTTAGTGGTAATCACTCGTTTTTAGTTTCATTTTAGTGTTTAAAAGAATATTTCCAGAAGTAAAAATATTTGTGAAAGCAGAGATTATGAATGTAATTATCTATGGCTCAGATAATTATGTAGATTTTTTTAATACTTATTTTTTAGGTGTAGATGGACACAACACAATGCCTTTATTTTTATGTGGTGCTGAGGATCGAACTCGGGTCCTGCCCATGCTAGGCGGGGGCTCTACCACTGAGCCACAATCCCAGCCCCAATTATGTAGATTTAAAACTAATGTTTGAAACACTTAAAAGATGGAAATAGATAATTTTCTTATTCAAAATAATGTAAATATCTCTTTATAAAGCAAATTTGTATATTTAAAAACTGATCCAATTACATTTTTTTGGGGGGGGGATACAGGAGATTTACCCTGGGGGCAATTTACCTTTGAGCAAATTCCCAGCCCTTTTTATTTTGAGACAAAGCCTCAGCAAGTTGCTTAGGGCCTTACTAAGTTGCTGAGGCTGGCTTTGAACTTGGGATCCTCCTGCCTCAGCCTCCTGAGTAGCTGGGATTATAGTCCTGAGCCACCATGCCTGGCAGATCAAATTACTTTTATTAAAAAAAAGGTTACTTGGGGCTGTGGTTGTGACTTAGTGGTAGAGCACTTGCCTAGCATGTGTGAGGCACCGGGTTCAGTTCTGAGCACCGAATAAATGAATAAAATAAAGGTCTATCAACATCTTAAAAAAAAAAAAAAGTTACTTGCCTTTATGATTTTGGAAAGTAATCTTAAGGCATTACATTTGCCTTATTTGCTTTAAACTGAACAAAATGAAGTTTCTGATTTGCCCTCCCTCCTTTTCCAGCACAGCGGCCATAAGGAATCCACGTGGCATGTCAGAGCCTGTCCGTTATCCCAGACTCACTAACTAGGCCCTGTCACCAAGAAGCTTTGTTTGTTGTCCCAGGTGCTGGGTAAGAGGTGTGCACTGAGCCTGACCCAAGGACTTGTGCATGTGCTAAGTACAGTTATAAGCCCTCCCCACCCTTACTGCAGTGATAATGTAATCAAGCATATCAGACATAAAAAATAAAATATTTTAAGGATAGATTCCATTCATCTTACCATCAGTAAAAAAATATGATCGGGTTCCATCTTGTCTAACATAAAAGTTTTCTCCAAGTTTGCTTCCAGCTTTAAACCTAAGCATGGCATGATCATACAGTCCATAGTCACGGAACAAGACACTTTTGCCTGGTTTTAATACCTATGAAAGAAAAATGAGCTGTGAGTAACTCTGGGGACCCCAGCTAAACAAAGTAAAAAAATCTGATTAAGTTAGGAACTCAAAATAACTTATAGATTGGTGGCAATTAGAAAAAGATCTAGACTGAATTACCCATAATAATATGTAGGAAAAGGGCATGCCAGTAAAAGGGATAGGAAGACCTGGCAGAGCCTCCATAATATTGGAGATACTTCTTCAGCACCTCTAAAAGCACTCTGGAAAGTCCAGTGTCATACAATTAAAATGCAAAAGGCAATACCAAAGGACGATTGTCCTCATTGAAGCACATTTATTGGCTACCTGGTAATACTCAATCATCAAAATTTCTTTTAAAAAATAATATGTCATTTTTGGCTTTTTCAGTAAAAAGTAAAATATGTCGTCATATTTTTTAGGCTGGTTTTTCTCATTCGGAATCTCAGCTCTGGTTTCACTGTGCTATAACTTGCAGCTCACCTGCTATGCACATAACTGATACATGTCTGGCCCTCGACAGCTTGCCAGATGTTTCCTCATTAGATCTTCACCCAATTCTGAAATGAAGGAGCATGACTGTCATCCTCATGTGAGGTGAGGAAAACGACTCTTGAAAAAGTTAAGCCATCTGCACCCCCATCATCACCCACTAGCTACTAAGTAGGGGAGTCAGGACTCACACTTAGGTCAAAAGGTTTCATACTGTGGAACAGATACTTCTGTTAGTCCTGGGGGATGGGGGATGAGTCACTCTTCACACTAGACAAGAAGAGAGGTACAGAAAGGAAAGGTCAATTTTCATATTCTTCCTTGTTATGCAGGACTTCTAGATATGGGAAGTAGATCATCAGGCTATAGTGCAACATCTCAAAGAAGACTAGTGTCAGGACCAGGTGGTGAGTCCCACACAAAAGTCCTTCGGAGTGTAGCTAATTAAAAAAAAAAAAAAAAAAAAAAAAAGAATTAGCAGGATAATACCAATGTAGTAAAAAAAAAAAAAAAAAAGTCCTTCAGAGACAAGATGTCAGAGTAGATGTCTCAAAAATCAGAAGGAAAGATCAGTAGGGTATGGGTACAGCTCACTTTACAAAGGAAATGGCTACCTGTTTTTCAGAATGAAAAGTAGTACACATTGGGGCACTTTTTTTTTGACCCTTGCTTTTTATGTGAAAATTCTTTCAAGTGGTTTAACACTACCAAATGAAAGGGAACTGGAAGCGGGTGTGTGTGTGTGCTGATTTTTATTAAATCTATTCTCACTCATCATACATCAACAAGATGATTTGAAAGCATCTATTTTAAAATGAACATATATAACCTATGATAATAGATTTGTCTCCTTTGGAAAAGTTTGTGATGGGCTATCAAATTTTCTTTCTTTCTTTTTCTTGGTGGGGCTGGGGATTAAACCCAGGCCTTTGTGCGTGTGAGGCAAGCAATCTACCAACTGTGCTATATCTGCAGCCCCCCTGGGGTTATCAAATTTTCTAGAACTAGTTAGATGTATTCTCTCCTCCTGAATAGAAGAGGAAAGATTATCCATGACTGTTTGAGCAGATTTTCTCATTTAGTAAACTCTTATTGACAATAGCATGTCTTTTAAAAATGCTGTCAGTGAAGAAAGAGTCTCAGATAAAAACATTCTTACCTTGGTTAGAAATGCTATGTTTTAGAATGTAAATAATTAAGAAAGAAAAACTCTGAAAACATTTAGTTCACATGAGACTTATTCTTCATTTCAGAAGAAAGGGCTACATGGTACAGGGGAAATAACACTCACTCTGGAATTTGGAAATCTTGACTCAAATCTCAGTTCTTCCATTAACTAGTTGAATGCAAAGTAATTTCATCCCTCTGAATATATTTTCTCATCTGTAAAATAAATTATGATACTAATGCCTCTTTCGATCATGATACTGTAGTTAATCAGGCATTTTCCAATGTCAGTTTTTTTTTTCATTCCGACAACTCCAAGGGTGAGCAGATTAGGTCCTATTAAACCCACTTTTTGGTAAGGCTGGCTCAGAGTAAAGATGTCTTACTTGCCCAAACAACTCAAGGCAAGCCAATAATTTTAAGACTAAAGATCAGGTCTTCTGATGGCAAATCTAGCCCATCTTTCTTTTACTCTTCCAAAGATTTTTTAAAAAAATTTCCCGCTGGTGTTAATAGCTTGGAGTGATTAAATTTATATTACAACAGCTTATTTCTGTGACTATTCATGTAAGGGTCTCAGAGCAATTCATAGGGTGTCTTATCATTAGAGGTTGCAAATTGCTTCTCCCTCTAGAAATTTCCTGATGAAACATATGATTTCAAATAAATAAACCACTCAATGAGAAAGCAATCACTGCTGCTATAAACTTATTCCAGATAGGATGGAGGAAAAAAAAATCTATCGAAGAGTAAAAAATAGGAGGAATGCTGAGATGAAATTTGTTACTAAAAAAACATAATGGTCTGGGACAGCCTGAGTCCATTTTTCTTTCTTTTTCTGTTTAAAATTTTTGGAACTGGGGATTGACCCCAGGGGCACTTAACTACTGAGCCACATTCCTAGGCCTTTTTTAAATTTTAGAGACAGGGTCTTGTTGAATTGTTTAAGGCCTTGCTAAGTTTTTGAGGCTGGCTTTGAATTCAGGATCCTCCTGCCTCAGCCTACCAAGCCACTGGGATTTCAGGCATGTGCCACTATACCCAGCTCAGTTTTTTGTTTTTCTTTTTTAATATAATATTTCATACTACTAATACACACACACACACACACACACACACACACACACACATGCTGTATGTTTCCATGAAAAGAAGTTCAGGAACTGATGAAACTGATCCATGAAGATGGAGGTTAGAAAACTGGTCACCTAGAGTCTCTGGGGGTGGGGTGAGGGCACCGGGAAGTCTGCAGAGATGCTAGAAACATTCTATATTTAGTTGGGGATTACATGAGTATATGCATGTGGAAAAATCCCTCTAACTTGTCTGGAGTACTTATTACATGACTATTAAACCTCAGGAAAATATAAAACTATAGACAACATACATAAGTTGTAAAATTATAAATGAACTTTCATCCAATTTAAGAATCAGACCATTATCAATACACCTGTAAACTCCTCCTCTGCACCATTACCCTGCCTTTCTTAACACAGAAATTCTGAATCTCAAGTCCACAGGCCCAAAAGGTTGAAGATTAGAGATCAGAGTACTGTGAATTTAAGTAGAAAACAAAGTTATATCTTTATTTTCACTGCTTCCAATGGAAAGTTAGTACTTCCTTAATTATGAATTCAGGCAACCAAAATTTTGACCAAAAAACCCCAAAACAGCCTGGTGCCATTGCCCATGCCCGTAATCCTAGCCACTTGGGAGGCTGAGGCATAGGAGGATCCCAAGTCTAAGGCCAGCTTTGTCAATTTAGCAAGACCCTATTGCAAAATAAAAAAGGCTAGGGATGTAGCTCAGTGGTAAGCCCTTGCGGAGCATGTCCAAGTCTCTAGGTTCCATTGCTAGTACGACAACAACCACCCCTGCAGAAACAATCCCTTGCATCATGGTGCAGTCCTTGCATATACTTAAATTTACATTCATTTTTACTTAAAAAATGTATGGTTTCACATTACTTGTTCTTCAGAAGACTAAATTTGGCACTGCTACTTAGTTCATTTTGTACCTAAGAAGCTTTGCAAAACTGTTTGTTGCTTTTCCTTTTGAAGTACACAAACATCTGGAGTCCAAAAGGAGTCTTTATAGTGAGGCTACTACATGAGTTGCAAGAGAGGAATAAGACAAAATGATAAAGAGGTGTCAAGCAAACTTGTATTTCAGTGTAAAATTTACCATGCAGTTTTTGTAAGTAAATAAGATGATTTGAGAACACTACCATATTGCCTTGATATGCACACACACACACATATACATTTTTAAATTTATTTTAAAAAATATTTATTTTTTAATTGTAGTTGGACACAATACCTTTATTTATTTGTTTTTATGTGGTGCTGAAGATCAAACTCAGGGCCTTACACTTGCTAGGCGAACGTTCTACCACTGAGCCATAGGCCCAGCCCAACACATATACATTTTAAATAACAATGTCTAAACCTGTTAAAAGCAGGCTTCATGGCAAGCTCTAAACTGCTTTTTTTTTTCCCTTGAGGAATATATTACATTTATCTGTACTGATGTTGAAAATTCTGTTAAAACCTTGTCAAGAATTTGTTTTGCATTAAACAAATTTATACAGAGTGTGCCCAAATAAATAAATAAATAAATAAAAAGTATGGTATTTACTAGATCACCACTGTTAGAGCTTTCGAATTAATGTGTTAACCTACTAAAACAGGCAGCTAACATTCTGAGGGGTTCATAGGTTTCACTAGATTACCAAGGGGGTTCATGGCACGAAAATGCCATGAACCCCTGCCCTAGAAATCCACCAGCCTACATTTGCATTATTAATCTACTACTTTTCTTTCTTTTTCTCAATGGTGGAAAGAAAGGGGTGAGTGGAATGAGAGGATGCTCAAAAACACATCATGTTGTAAGCAATGTGCTTTTTTACCCTTTTTTTTCCCTTTCCAGACAGGTCTCACTATGTTTCTCCGGATGGTTTAGAACTCCCCATTCTCCTGCCTTAGCCTCCTACATAGCTGTGCTTACAGTTGTGTGCCACCATGCCCAGACAACAACTTGCTTTTTGAAAATTAACCCATGTCATTCCTATAGCTGAGGCCATTGTCTTTCAGTGCTGTGTGGTGCTCCAACTGTCTGAACATACTACAATGTATGCCTCCTCCATTAGGTCAAATTGACTTCGAAACTGGTTACTGTATCAGAAAAGTACAAGGGGTTCTGCAGATGCATATTCTCATCAATATTTGGCTTTATCAAACTTCTAAATTTTATTAATCCAGTGGTATCTCCTTATGATTTTATCTTACATTTCCTTGGTCACTGAGATCATCTTTTTATGTGTTAACTTACCGTTCTATGAAATGACT